TTTGTTTTTGATGCCAGGGGTTGAACATAGGCCTAGAGCATGTAGGCAAACACAAGAATTTTAAGAAGCCTCTTGGATGTCAGCCTTGTTTAACTTGATTGCTAGTCTTTTTGTGTTTGTTTTTTTGTTTTTGTTTTTCAAGACAGGGTTTTTCTCTGTAGCCCTGACTGTCTTTGAACTCACTCTGTAGACCAGGCTGGCCTCGATCTCACAGAGATCCTCCTGCCTCTACCTCCCAAGTGCTGGGATTTAAGGCCTGCGCCACCACTGCCGGTCTGCTAGTGTCTCTGTCTCTGTCTCTGTCTCTCTCTCTCTCTTTTAAGCAGGATAAACGTTGATTTATTACTGAAAAGTGAGAACTCCTGAGAGTGGGAAGGGCTCAAAAGAGGAATAGTATTCTTTTTTTTTTTTTTTTTTTTTGGTTTTTCGAGACAGGGTTTCTCTGTGTAGCTTTGCACCTTTCCTGGGACTCACTTGGTAGTCCAGGCTGGCCTCGAACTCACAGAGAGAGGGATAGTATTCTTATTACTTCAGAGTGAGTAGGCCAGCTGTAAGGACTTGTCAGGTGATAGACCAGAGGTACAAGGGTGTGTCTTGTTAAGGACCATTCATCCGGTTAGTGTTAGAGCCAAATCTAGAACGTTGGTGGCTTCTAGCTCAAACTGCCCTCATTAGTTAATCACTGCCCACAAACCCTCGTATTTAAAAGTGCCTGAGATTTCTGTGCAGGGCTCAGTGGCTACCAGACCACAGGTGGTCCTGGTTTTCTTCATACGTTTTCCCTTATTTAAACTATACACAGGATTAGCCACCTGGGACACGTGTTCTGAGATTCCACCACCATGATCTCACAGTGCCTTTTCCTTTCAGACAAGTAAGCAGTTGGCAGCAGCGTTCCAAGAGGAGTTTACAGTGAGAGAGGACCTGATGGGTCTGGCAATTGGGACCCATGGTGCCAACATCCAGCAGGCCCGCAAAGTGCCAGGAGTGACTGCCATTGAGTTGGGTGAAGAGACTTGCACTTTCCGCATCTATGGGGAGGTCAGCCAAAGATGGGTCTTTTGGCTCCTTGGGGGACTGAGGGGAGAGAGGGTAAAGTGGAAAGCAAGTCTGAGCTGTGGTGACCTCCCGCCTGACTTTGGTAGCAGCTTATTTCTCCAAAGTCAGAGAATGGCAGAGATCCAGGTTCTGTTTTAGCTTACTCTTTCTATAGACGCCAGAGGCATGCCGACAAGCTCGAAGCTACCTGGAGTTTTCTGAGGACTCTGTACAAGTGCCCAGGAACCTGGTTGGTGAGTTTGGGTGTGTGTATGAAAGGAATAGTTGGGCCCGGGTGGCAGGGTCTTGAAAACAGTGTTAGGCATGTGACTAGGATTGATGCTACTCTGTGGGCTTCTGGTTTCATAAGGACAGAATAGTCTGACATAGGAATGAGAAAAAGGGAATGATAAGTGTGTGGAGATTGTAGCATTTTATCCCATGGAGAGGTTATGAGATTCCTAGAAATAGGAGAATGCATTAAGTGCAGTATATGTAGAGAAGGGGCTATAGAAGACATGTACTTTTATTTCCTTAACAACAATAACAACAAAAATTAAAAGCCTAATTCCTCCTTTATCCATTTAGGCAAAGTGATTGGAAAGAATGGGAAAGTGATCCAGGAGATTGTGGATAAGTCTGGTGTGGTGAGGGTTCGTGTGGAAGGTGATAATGACAAGAAGAACCCCAGGGAGGAGGTATGGAGCACAGAGGCCTAGAAATCGTCTTCTAGAAGTAGGAGGCACTGTTTTCTGAGGTCTGGGGACTTTAGAGGGTGGAGCACAGAACGTGGCCCTAGTAGACTGTGTCCTGTTGTCCTTTGAGAGTGGGCTTAACATTGCAATCTTTTCCTTCCTGATTGTCTTCCTTTTTTTGAGCAGGAACTCACTATATAGCTCTAGCTGGCCTGGAACTAACTTTGTGAACCAGGCTGGCCTTAAACTCTGTACAGAGATATTGCCTGCCTCTGCCTCCCCAATGTTGGGACTAAAGGTGTGTGCCACCATGCCTGGGGGAATAGGTTGAGACAGAATCTCATGTAGCATAGGTTGTGCTTGAAATTAATTAGCTTTACCGTGTAGCTAAGGATAGCTTTTGAATTCCTGCTCCTCCTCTGTCTCCTGAGTGCTAAGATTATTTGTACCATCACACCTAACTGACTTGTACTCTTTCTTTTGCTCTGTTCTCTAGGGAATGGTTCCCTTCATATTTGTTGGCACCCGAGAGAATATCAGCAATGCCCAGGCACTGCTAGAGTACCACCTCTCCTACCTGCAGGTACAAATGTCAGAAGCCATGTCAGACAGGCCGGGGGAACTAGGGGGCAGGGGCTGCTGGTATATAATCTCTGGGGCTGGCCTGCCTGCTGTGTCTTTGTGTAGAACAGGACTGTTGGTTCATCGTTTGGCTCTGGGACTGTATCCTGTTCTTTCTAAGCCTGTGTCTTCCTTCTTGTATCTCAAAAGCTTAGCTGCACAGGGACCATGTGAGTAGAAAAGCATGAAGGAAGTGGACTGTCCACTCATTTTCACTCTCCTGTGTTGTCTGTCTTCTTTCCAACAGGAGGTTGAACAGCTTCGCTTGGAGAGACTGCAAATTGATGAACAGCTTCGGCAGATTGGGCTGGGCTTTCGTCCTCCTGGGAGTGGACGGGGTGGTGGTGGCGGCAGTGACAAGGCTGGCTATACTACAGATGAGAGCTCCTCCTCTTCCCTGCACACGACCCGAACATACGGGGGCAGCTATGGGGGCCGGGGCCGGGGCCGGAGGACTGGTGGCCCTGCCTATGGTGAGAGAGCTGTGGGAGCGGTGGAGGAGGTGGATGTTTGGGGGGAAGCCTGGGGAAAGCAGTGACTTGGGTGCTTGTGAGTGATAGGAAGAATTGTAGTTTGGAGGAGGTGGTAGGGCAACACCAGTGGCTCTGATTAAACCCTTCTGTGCCCCTCAGGCCCCAGCTCAGACCCATCCACGGCTTCTGAGACAGAGTCAGAAAAGAGAGATGAGCCTAATCGAGCAGGACCTGGTGACCGAGATCCCCCAAGCCGTGGAGAAGAAAGCCGGAGGCGGCCGATTGGGGGCCGGGGAAGGGGACCCCCACCTGTTCCCCGGCCTACCTCAAGATACAACTCATCATCTATTAGCTCAGGTTATCAGAGAGCTGGGGGTCATATATATATGGGCCCACAGAAGAAAATAGTTGTCACCTGACCCCGAGTCCCTCTCCTTCCTCTCCTCAGTGCTAAAGGACCCAGACAGTAATCCTTATAGCCTATTGGACACATCTGAACCAGAGCCCCCAGTTGATTCAGAGCCTGGGGAACCCCCTCCAGCAAGTGCCCGTCGTCGCCGTTCCCGCCGCCGTCGTACTGATGAAGACAGGACTGTCATGGATGGAGGCCTGGAGTCTGATGGTCCTAACATGACAGAGAACGGCCTGGGTGAGGGGCAAGCCTGCATTCTTAGGTGTCTTGAGAAAGAATGAAGAATGAGAGGATGGGTGGGTGGATGACTTTTCTTTACTCCACAGAAGAGGAATCAAGACCCCAGCGACGCAATCGCAGCCGCCGCCGCCGCAATCGTGGTAATCGAACTGATGGGTCCATCAGCGGAGACCGCCAACCAGGTCAGTTGACATTGCAGGATTGGAGCCTTCCTAGAGCTAAGAATGGAATGCTTGGTGCTCTAGGAAAACCAGGGTTGGGTTCAGTGGGAACCGTGGAGATGGATCCCTGTGTTCCTGAAAGTCTTGATCCCTCTCTGCCTTTCCTAGTGACTGTGGCAGACTATATCTCACGGGCAGAGTCTCAGAGCCGCCAGCGGCCACCTCTGGAATGCACGAAACCCTCAGAGGATTCTCTTTCAGGACAGAAGGTTGGCAGTCATGATACAGCTTACCCCATTCTTTTTTTTTATTTGGGGCAGGGACACAGAAAACTTGTGTAGGAACTACCTGAGTTGTTGAATTGGCTGTATGTGGTGGAGTTGAGGTTAAGCCGAGGCTAGAGCAGAGCTGGCGCGGACGGAAGGCTAGGCTCACAGTGACTAGAGCACAGGGAGATGGGGGAATCGGCCCTGGTCTCCATGTGTCTCCAGTGAAAAGGAATGCCTACACTTTGTGTACTGATGGACTGCTTTCTTTTCGTTTTCCTCCTGCTTCCTCTTCAGGGTGACTCTGTCAGCAAGCTTCCCAAGGGCCCCTCGGAGAATGGGGAGCTCTCTGCCCCCTTGGAGTTGGGTAGTTTGGTGAATGGGGTTTCATAAAACCTCCAGTCCACATCCTCCTTTCTCCATCTCGCTTGCTGCCCACCACCATGGCCCTCATGGGTCCAACTGACCTGCGCTGGAGCTGCTCTTATCTATGGGGGAGGGGGGTGGCACAGCAGCTTGGGTCCCCCCCAACCTCCAGGAGCTAGTGGAGGGGTGTGTAACAGGGTCATACCCCTTCCCTCTTGTCCACCCAACCCCCAGGGTGAGGGGAGCCTCCCCTTCCCTATCAGACTGGATGTGCCTTTATCCTCTAATGCCCCGACCTCTGAACACCCCCATTCTCCGCCTGTTGGTGGGGGTGCTCCTTGACCCACCCAGATTTGACAGTTCAGGGGGGCTCCCCTGCTATCCCTCCTCCCATCCTGTACCCCCCATTTCTGGGGCCTCATCACTGTGGAAGACGGGGATAGTGAGGGTATTTGTGGGTGGGAGGCATGGGGAAGGTTTTGGAGTAGAACCAGGGGTGTGTATGAAGGGGGGGTGACAAGGTCCCCCAGGGAATTGGGGGGAATAACCTTGTCTGGTGGATGAGAAGGCGTATTTATTTTTCACTGTACAGTATTTAAAAAGAGAATAAAAAAAATCCAATGGCCTTGTGGTTCCCATGCCTTATTTGTCCCCAGTCTCTGGTCTGTTTGGATCTCTAAGACTGACCTGTACTGCTCCCTGGCTATTCTGTATTCTTAGCTTCTCATTCTGTGTCAGGAAGATGATATTCTGGAAATTGCTGCATACTTAATTCTCCATGCCCAGCTACTTGGTTGCTTGATAGAGTTGGGCCACTCCTAAGCCCTGAGTCACAGGAGGGTAGGCAGGGCTGCTTGAAGCTGGACCTGTTCCTGCTAGGAACTGAGAGTCTGGGCAGGCTATTTAATCGGATTATCTGGGGCCTGGGGCACAGGCAGGGCCGTCATCAGAGGAGAAAATAGGGTTCTTTCAGCATGGCCTCTAGAACCCAGGAGGGTCAGCATGCATTTCTGGCTTGGTGTTGCTCTGGCTCCAGAATCCACATCACTGACCTCAGCTTTTGGGGTCTTAAGGGTGAAGAGGTAGTGACTGGGATTGGGAGACTCCAGACCTCAGTTGGACAGTGTGCTGAGTGCTGAAGATGATCCTAAAGAGGGTGTCCTGAGTGCCTTGTCAGAGAAGCCATGACCTTAAAGTGGAGGGAACTTGGATCCTTAAGAAATATGTATCAGTCAGATGATGGGGTTGCACACCTTGAGTCTCAGCACTAGGAGGCAGAGGCAGGCAGATCTCTTGAGTTCCAGGACAGCCAGGATTGTTACACAGAGAAACCTTGTTTTTGAAAAACAAACAGGATGTATCAGGTAGCTCAAGGCCAGCCTAGTCTACATTAAAAAGAGAGAGAGAGATGTAGCAGGGCAGTAAAGATAGCTCAGGAGGCCGGGCAGTGGTGGTGCGCACCTTTAACCTCAGCACTCAGGAGGCAGAGGCAGTGAGTTTGAGGCCAGTCTGGTCTACAGAGTTCCAGGACAGCAAGGCTACAACAGAGAAACCCTGTCTATAAAAGCAAAACAACAAAGAGTGCTCCCTGCCAAGTCAGGACCTGAGCTGGGCCACCGAGGTAGCCACTTCCTCTTCACCTTGAGACCCCGGAAGGAGAGAATAGACCGGGAAGTTGTCCTCTGACCTCCACACTGCAAATGGCAGCACTTGTGCCCCTCCCATCAGCTTTCTGAAAGTACCAAGATTCCATCTTTTAAAAGTGTGTATCTCGCCGGGCGGTGGTGGCGCACGCCTTTAATCCCAGCACTCGGGAGGCAGAGCCAGGCGGATCTCTGTGAGTTCGAGGCCAGCCTGGACTACCAAGTGAGTTCCAGGACAGGCACCAAAACTACACAGAGAAACCCTGTCTCGAAAAACCCAAAAAAGAAAAAAAAAATGTGTATCTCTAGGTCCAGAGTCCTTTGGCTGTCTCCTCCTGGTTTAGGTTGAAAGATGAAACTGGCCTTAATCAGTGGCAGTGGGGAAATCTCAGGGCTGGAAGTGGCTTGAGTGTTCTCACCCACCCGGGCACCTGTTGGAGTGACTCAAGACCAAATGGCCTTGTCTTCTTAGTTTCTCACCTCCGGGACAGGTCAGGGTTTGAAGATCAACAGACACCGGAAAAGGCCTTGAGTAGGGTGTGAGATCTCCTGAGGTCTCCCAGTTTGGTTGACCCTGAGGGCATTTGATGCCCAAGCTTGGGAAGGAATTTGCTTTAAATTGCTTGTGCTTGAGTAGACAATTGTAGCCATTGGGGCCATTAGCCTGACATCCAGACCTTGGGTGGAGAGGGGGCGTGGTGCCCCAGGGGAGGTGTCTGGGCAGCAAATAACAGGACACTTGGGTTTGCCGAAGAAGCACAGCCTCTGGGAGGGATTGGGGGAGGAGTTAGGCTCTCAAAGCCGGTTCATAGAGGCTGAGCACAGGTGGGGAAGGTCTGTGGCACCTGGGTACGCTCCTGGCAGCTGTGGCAACTTTGGAGCCCAAGAGCCTCACGGAGCCAGAGTTGCAGCCTCCACCGAAGACTCCGTCCCGCCGTCCGCTCGCCCGCTCGCCCGCCGCAGAGGGTAGGGAGAGGCACTGTAGGGACTTGAGAGAACAGCACCTCTCCAGGGCAGGGGCGCCAGACAAGGAGGATTCTGCATTCAGCTTTCCAGAGGTGGTGAATCCATCCCTGAGAGCAAAGGTTCGATTCAAGGACTCCGCAAGATTCTTAACCCAAATTCTCAGGGGCCAGTCTTCACCCTGGGAGGAGGGCATTCAAGACGCCCTCTCAAAGACACTTTATCCTCAAGCCATGGCGCTGCCCGGCTCCTCACAAGCCCAGACTTGGAGCGTGGAGCCTCCGGTTGCCACAGCCTCTTTGCCCTCGGGACCTCAGGAGCAGGAGGGTGCCGGGAGCCCTGCAGCGTCCGGAGGGCTCCCGCAGGAGAAGGTGAAGCGGCCCATGAACGCCTTCATGGTGTGGAGCTCCATTCAACGCCGCCAGATGGCGCAGCAGAACCCCAAGCTGCACAACTCGGAGATCTCGAAGCGCCTGGGAGCGCAGTGGAAGCTGCTGGGCGACGAAGAGAAGCGTCCCTTCGTGGAGGAGGCCAAGCGTCTCCGAGCCCGCCACCTACGCGACTACCCCGACTACAAGTACCGGCCTCGGCGCAAGAGCAAGAACTCGGGCACCGGCACCGGGTCTGCCCACTTCAGCCAGGGAGGAGGTGGCCTGGCCTGTGGTGGCCCGCACTGGGGGCCAGGGTACACAGCTACCCAAGGGAGCAGAGGCTTTGGGTACCAGCCCCCCAACTACTCGACAGCCTACCTGCCTGGCAGTTACGCGTGAGTGCCCGATTGTCCCCCACCCCGCACCCCGCTCTTCCTGAAGGCTGGGTAGGGATGGAGGCCCGAGGGCTAAGGTGGGAGAACCCCATCCATCTTAGCAGAAGCGCACCAGGCTGAGGTTGGGTGGGAGGGATCAGAGTTCAGGACAGGGGCCTGTCCACCCCAGCCTTCACCTTCTGAATGTCAGTCTCCCCCTTGCTGATGGCCCTTGTGTGACCCGGCTTCCTCTCCCAGCCCCCGGGGCAAGGAGAGGCCAAGCCCATCCTGTTGCTCCCTCCTGGCCTGCCGCCCCGAGAGGCAAACAGCGTGCAGCACGCAAGCCGGCTCCCGAGCGTGCCCCGACAGAACGCCTTGATCTTTAAGCCATCTTAGGGTCTTGTTCCATGCCTGCTGTACCCAGCATGGCTGGCTGAGTAGCAAATTCTAACCCTGTTTGCTGCAAACTGGTCAGACCAGTCTCCTGAGAGTTGGGGACACTGCCCAGTCTCTTCATCCCAGAAATGTAACCTCCAAACCTCATGTTTCTCTTCACAGCTCTTCCCACTGTAGACCGGAGGCCCCCTCGCCGTGCTCCCTCCCTCAGAGTGATCCTAGGCTCCAAGGGGAGCTAATGCCCTCTTTCCCCACCTACCTGCCCCCAGGCTCTACCACCCCATACAGCACTTCCCTTGCTGGTGCCCCATGTCTGTAACCCACCTTTAACTGGCAGAGACATTTCAGTTCAGAGGCCTACAAGTCTCTCAAGGAACCAGAATGCACAAAAGCACAATAACACAATTTTGTACAATCACAGCACGTCTCCGAGTCTTTTATTGTCCCATCTGTACGCTCACCACTACAGCAAACCCTGCCTCTCCACACCCTTCCGTCTGGACCTGCCACAGCAGGAACCTCCCCACCCCACCCTGAGGCCCTTATCTGAGTCATTCCCCGCCCCCCACCTCCAGACCGGGGTCCAATAGATTGTCCCAGCCAGGTGGCAAAGGGAAGCAGCCACAAGCTCACAACCACATTTGTCCAGGCTCTCCTCCGTCCAGAAGGTGAGTGGACAAGGCAAGCTTCCGCTCCAGTAAGAAAACAGCGGCTTCAAGGCCGGAGGCTCAGCCCAGGTGAAATGAGTGTTCACACACCCTGGCTCCAGAGGGGCCCTTAGAGGAATGGAGGAGGAGAAGTTGAGTGGATGATGGAAATGGAATGATTCTGGATGCTGGCTCCACACTATTGCTCCTTTTTCTGTCTGGGGGGAGGCTTTGCATTCCAGTAGAAGAGGACCTGGGCAGCAATGAGACCATTGCAGAGGGAGGAGACCACAAAGATGCCAGCCATGAGGGGGTCTCCAGTTTCCTGTTAGGAAAGACAACACAGACCTAGAAAGGTCGCAGAGGGAGAGGCTTCTGACTCAGCTGCGAGTGAGGTTTGAGTGCCCTCTAGAGGGCAGAAGGTGCACTCACCTGAACCGAAGTGAAGATTCGGGCCAAGGAGCCCCCAAACAGCATGAACACTGTGATGGCCGAGAGCTGGCCTGTGTGCCCGTTGTGGTAGTTGGTGGCTGCCTGCAGCAACTGGAGGAGAGTTCGTACTTTTGGCTTTGTCATCTGAACATTCGCTGTGTTCCCATCACTAATTCCCTCCCTCCCTGCAGACTAACACTCCGTACTCCGGGGGTTCCACCCTGCCCCTCCCACACGTGCATCCTTCCCTTGCAAGCACCCACCTTCCCCGCCACCACGGCAGGTACATTGGAGGCCTGGAGCAGGGTGACCAGAGCTAGAGGTGTGAGTGGGGAGAGCAGCGCCAGCAGGAGCATCGCGTAGCAGGCGAGGAAAGCGACTCCTGGGGGTCAGGGAGACAAGGGCCCTCTTGAGCCTCCCGAGTCCCACCAGAGTCCCAGGATCCAATGCCTGCTCTCCAGCCAAGCCCCGGCACCTTTCACGGTCTCTCCTCTGTAGTGCATGACCAGGAAGCAGATGGTGACTGTCTGGAGGGTCAGGAACAGTGCTTCACCCCAAGAGCTGCAGTCAAGAGGTAGGAGGGAAAAAGGCGGGCCTGGAAAGAGGCAGGCAGCCTCCACAGCCCACCCATCAGGCCTGTGCTTCCCCAGCCCCACCATGCCTGGCTCATTTAGAGAGTGCTCACGGCATCACCACTTGGGTGTGATGGAACTTCTGGAAGGGCTGAAGTGGTCTTCACCCTTGTTAGAGCTGTGGGCACTAGGGCTGGTCAGGTAGGTCAGCAGGTAAAGGTGCTGGCCTCCAAGCCTGACCAACTGCCTTCCAGCCCCAGGATCCACACACTGGAAGGAGAGAACCAATTCCTACAAGTCGTTCTGACTCCCCTCCCCCTAATAAATAAATAACTATAATAAAAGAAAGAATTGTGGGCATTTGGCCTTGGGGATGAAGAGTGGGGCCCTCACCTGAAGGGGAAGTTGTTGGTGATGCTGTAGACGACAGTTCCCGTCAACGCCACTAGCTCCAGCATCACTGACTGGAGACTCAGTCCCTCTGCACTCTTGGCTCCCAGGATTTTAAGTATCTGGGGCAGCTTTACTGGGGGAGAAGGGCACGGCTGAGGAAGAGCAGACCGTCCCCAGCCCTTGGCATCAGCCTCTCAACACCTCCATCTTTACTCTGACAGAAGGAAGGAACTGTACATACCTAGAAGTGACCCGGCCACGATGCCCAGCCCAAGGCCTTTGCTGAGGAGAATCTTGAGGCAGGGAACTGAGAGAAGAGAAGAAAGTGAGCAGAAGCCTCTGGAACCCAGGTGAGGGTCTGAAGTGCTCTGTGAGCTGTTCCCCTCCCCTCATCCTTGGCATGGCCACCACACCAGTAAGTCTCTCTCTGGGGATGGGGCAGGCTCCTTCACCAACACAGCTACCAACTGATGCCTTCCCTCCTGCTCCACCTCTCTTTCCTATAACACACATGGAAATCGTCTATTTTTTAGGCCTGACAAGATAGCTAATGACCTAAGTTCAACCCGGGATCCACATGGCAGACAGAGAGAATCAATTCCAGGACTGTCCTCTGACTTCCATGCATGAGCCACCCTAATAAAAATGTACTAAGAGCCGGGCAGTGGTGGAGGAGCGCGCCTTTAATCCAAGCAATCGGGAGGCAAAGTCAGGTGGATCTCTGAGTTCCAGGCCAGCCTGGGCTACAGAATGAAATCCAGGAAAGGCTCCAAAGCTATGTAGAGAGACCCTGTCTCGAAAAAAAGTACCAAGAAATTGTCTTTTTAGAAAGTCATTAGGGGCTGGAGAGATGGCTCAGTGGTTAAGAGCACTGGCTGTTCTTCCAGAGGACCCAGGTTCAATTTCCAGCAACCACATGGTGGCCCACAACCATCTATAATGAGATTTGGTGCCTTCTTCTGGCAGAACACTGTATACATAATAAATAAATCTTAAAAAGTCATTAGGGCTGTGTTGTGGTACATGCCTTTAATCTCTTTTAATCTCTGAGTTCAAGGCCAGCCAGGATTACATAGTGAGTCTGTCTGAAATATTTAAAAACTATTGCCAGGTGTGGTGGTGGCGCACGCCTTTAATCCCAGCACTCGGGAGGCACAGCCAGGCAGATCTCTGTGAGTTCAAGGCCAGCCTGGGCTACAGAGTGAGTTCTAGGAAAGGTTCCAAAGCTACACAGAGAAATCCTATCTCAAAAACAAAAAACAAGACAGCCAGAGCTCTGTGGAGAGACCCTGTCTCAAAAAAATAAAAATAAGGGGCTGGAGAGCTGGCTCAGTGGTTAAAAGCATTGACTGCTCTTCCAGAGGACCCAGGTTCAATACCCAGAACCCATATAGACTTCACTGTAACTCCAGTTCCAGGGTATCTGGCACCGTCACATACATGCAGGAAAACACCAATGCACAGAAAACAAAATTACTGTACCAGCAATATGGCTCTGTTGCTAAATCTGATAACCTGAGCATGCATAAGTAGAGGCACACAACAAAAATGAACTTTAAAAATATGGGGCTGGAGAAATGGCTTAGTAGTTAAGAGCACCTACTGCTCATTCAGGGGATCTGGGTTCAAATTCCAGCACCCATGTTCGGCGGCTCATAACTGCCTGGAATTCTAGTTCCGGTGATATCTTGTGCCTCTGGCATCTTCATGCCCCTGCAATCATGGGCTCACATACACATACATAATCTTTTTTAAATATAAATCATCTATCTCTACATATACTGTGTGTGAACATATAGAAAGGTACACGTATGGAGGCCAAAGGACAACTCTGTGGAGCCAGTTCTCCTGTTTGGCCTTTCTGTGGGTTCCAGGAATTGAACTCAGGTCACCAGCCTTGCAGCCACCTACCAGTTCCAAATAAACGTGTAGGCCCCCAGGCATGACCACCACTGCCTTCAGTCACACAGGCATTGCTCAAGGGTTCCCTGACCCTTCTCTCTCTCTCCTCAGTAACCCACTTCAAATGGTCTCCTTCCAAAGACAAATCTCTACAGCTTACATTCCTGAACCTTCTGGTTGTTCCTGGCACTTATGCAGTGGCCAAGCCCACTCTTCCAGGGCTTGCTTTTATCCCTGTTCATCTAGAATCTCTATCATTTATTTTGGTTTTCCGAGACAAGGTTTCTCTGTGTAGCCCTGGCTGTCCTTGATCTCAGAGATCCTCCTGCCTCTGCCTCCCAAGTGCTGGGATTAAAGGTGTGGGCGGCCACACTATTCCTGGCAGTTTCTCTGCCACTGAATTCTTGACCTGGATGGAATTCGGCCAGCAGGGAGTGTGACGATTGCAAAATGTCTACAACAGTGTTCTCCGAGTATATGACCTGACTAGAGCAGACAGGGAGAGCCTCATGCAAGGCTCTGGAGCTGGTGTAACCCTTGGCCATGGACTTGCCTGGTAAAGAAAGGGAAAGGACGGTTGTGGGATGAGATGGCTCATCCCTGTATTCCCAGCACTCTGGTGGCCGAGGAAGGACTGCTGCCAGTTCAAGGGCAGCCTGTGCTACACAGCAAGTGCCAGAAGTCAGCACCGGGTGGGCATGCATCTCAAAAAAAGACAAAAGGCATTCCGTCTGCCTCTGTCAGTTCAATGCCGGGATGAGGAGGAGGTCGATCCACACGCCCGGCTGGGATGTGAACTTTATTTTATAAAATGTGAGTCTTCCCGGCTGGGGATAGAGCTCGGTTGGCAGAGGGGTTGCCTTACACGCCCGAGGTCCTGAGTTCGATCCCCAGCCTAGAAAGGGGGGTGGCGAGCACGGACTTTGCAGACTGTAAAGCAGACACTTAACTCTCTTTTCGGGCGACTCCCCCCTCATGCCCAAATATGGCACCTTCCCTATGCAGGGCCCGGAACACTTCCGCCCTCTTCAGAAGCGCCTTCCGCCCAGCTTCGCGTGACACCAGCCACCGCTGTCACTTGGGCGCGACCCACGCCAGCTTACGGTCCCAGGCTGCTCGGCTAGACTTGAAAGCCTGAATGAAACTCACCATGAAGCAAGTCCCATTGGACGAAAAGTTGGTCGTAGCATTTCTCAGGTAAAAGAATCGGCACCAGCACCCGTTTGAACAGCCCGTCCGCCTCGGCCGCCATGTTGGAACGATGGCTTCCGCCAGGCCGGCTGGCCCCGCCATTGACCTCCGCCGCGCATGCGCGCTCCGCGCCGCCCCCCCCCCCCCCCCCGACACGGCAGCCCCGCCCCTTCCCGCGCCATCCCGGCCTCAAAAGCCCGGGCCAGGTCTCCGCCGCCGGCTGGCTTTTGTACGCGCCCTGACGTGCGAATGGTAAAGCGTGTCCGAGGTTCTGCGCCTGCGCGGATAGGACTTCCGCGCTTTTGTTTACGCCAGCCAGCCTTCTGAAAGGAAGGTTCGTCCCTCCGCCTCTCTCCGTCCCCCTCGCGTGCGCGCCATCTTGTCCGCGCCTGGCCAACTTTAGATTTGAAGTTGGCGAGGGAAAGAGTCCGAGTCTTCAAAATGGCGCTAGCGGGGGCGCTGCGGCTCCCCTCTCTTTTCCTCTCGGTCTCTCTGGAGGGGATGGCACCAGGAAGAGGCCGTTCCGAGCTGGGCGTCCCTCCCAGTCCCGCTTCTTCCTGTGCTTTGCCCGGGTGTTGGAAGATGACCGCCAGGCAGAACAGGAGCGAGCCAGAGAGCAGCCCCGACACACCCCGCGGCCTCTGCCATGTCTCGGCGGGAACGCTGGGGATGGCCCGGAGCGCGCGGGCCACAGGTCCCCAGTAGCTCATGTTTGCGAAGGGGCACCTGGGGTCACTCCATGCTGCACCCCAGCCCCCAGTGCCCAGACAGCGCTCTCGGTTCCCCCTCATGGATGTGCCCCCGGCCCTCGGGCTGTAGGGCACCCTAGTTTCCCTGCTCCTTGTTCTTGGAGGGGCGGTGCCGGTCGGCTTCTGCCACGGGTACCTCAGCTGTGTAGGGCTCCAGCCCCCCAAGAATTTCTAGAACCACATGGGGCTCTTACAACTGAAATGGCACCCATCCTTGACTCCCATTGGATGCACTATGTCCTACTATAAATAGTAAAACTTGTCTGGCGGTGGTGGCGCACGCCTTTAATCCCAGCACTGGAGGCAGAGGCAGGAGGATCTTGGTGCGTTCAAGGCCAGCCTGGTCTATAGAGCAAGACCCAGGAAAGGTGCAAAGCTACACAGAGAAACCCTGTCTCAAAAAAAAACAAAATAGAGCTTAGACTTGATTTTGGTACAATGGGTGGCCATCCGGAAGTCCTTTTAGAATCTGGACATGGTCTGTCCTGCAAGTGGCACCACCCCCTCGCCCTCTGGTACCCAGGCATCAAGGGTATGTTTGCTGGGCCTCGAGTTGTTCTTAGAGCACCCACTGCTTCCATGGTTGGTGCATTTCTTTGCAGTGGGCTCTTGAGTGAATCTAGCCCTGGCCACAGTGGACAGGGACTCTTGTTGCTCAGTAGCCCCTGGCATCACCCTTTGAAAATGAAATGACACAGCCACCTACTCATTTTGACTGTGATGCCAGGATGGACTGATGCATTATGTTAAGGGAGTGGGCAGCCATTGGCCCCAGCAGGGGGAAGGGAGTTTTGGTAGCTTCTCCAGCCACTCTGCCAGACACCAAAGCACGAACCATGAAGGCATTTGGGCACTCCGGGATTCGCATCCCTTCTTGCCAGCTGTCCCCTGGTGACTCAACCATGGGAAGGCACCGGAAGGCACATGACAAGAAACTCGTGGCTGTTAACTCTGGCAGGGCAAGGGAACAAGGACACAGATTTCGTAAGTTTTCATGCTCCTTTTGTGAGCAGGAATCGGACACCGTTCCTCTTTATTAATCCCCCCATTACAAAATCTCTACTTTTGTTCTTAAAGACAGGAAAGGAGAATAACTTTGTTGAGTCAGGTGCACTCTGAAGAAATGAGGGTGCTCCTTGGTGGCCCGGAGTGGATTGGAGCAAATGCTCAGAGGGGCTGGTAGGGTGATTGTCGTCTCCGGGTAATGCAGAAGGCAATGAGCACCAGGGTGAGGAGGCCAAGGAGGACCAGGCCAATGATGAGAGGCAGCAAGAGGGATTGGTCGCTGGTGCAGGAGAAACCTGGTGGAAAGATGGGATGATTAGGAGTTGCTGAAGTGGTGGACGGGCTAAAGGTGGGAGGAAGGAAGAATACAGGGGGGGGAGCTTGATGAGCTCAACCCCATAATTTAGAGCAGTAAGGGAAGGAGGAATAGGTAGTCTTGGGGAGGAGACTAGGGTGTGGAAAGAGCTCTGGGGAAGAGGCTTCCCGTGCAGTGGGAAACTTCTGAGAAGCCTTACATGGCCCCAAGTGTCCTGTGTTGGGCAGCTGAGCAGCCTGTAGCCTCAGGGAGAGCAGGTCAAGGTGAACAGCTGGAGAAAGAACTATGCTTGTATTTCTGCAACAGAAGCTTTGGCCCAGAGGAGCTTGGAGCTCTCGAAGAGATGAATTCTGAGCCGAGAATGTCCACTCTGAAGAAGTTAGTAATGAAGAGTCAAATCCAGTCCACTCCCAGCTTCCCAGTGTCCCCTCTTCCCCTCACTAGGTAGTGTGGTAAGGAGAAGGGAAGGTTACTCACGTGCTGCCTGTGGGAAGGACACGTTGTATTCCACTGCCATGTAGTTGAGGTAGACTATCCTCTGGCTCTGCTCCAGGTCCTTGAGGTGAACAAAAAGGATCAGAGCAGCAGGGACAGTGGCTGTGGCGTCACGTCCACAGGGCAAGAAGGGAGGCTTACGAGGTATGGTTATGGGGCATGGGAGAGTAAAGGATGAAGACAAAAGCTGTCTACCTGTTTGAATCCAAAGGTGAGCTGCCCATAAGGAAATGAGAGAGGCAGGTGGGAATAGGCACTGTCACAGTCCCCCTGGACCTTGGTTTTGTTGGGATTCAGTATAGAGATGCCCCAGGCCTACAGAAGTGAGAGAACAGTGAGTCTGTGCCATGCAATGTTTTCATCCCCTCCTCCGCTCTTCCTCCCCCTCCTGAACCACCACAGGACTTGCCTCTTGCCCCTTTTACGCCCCACTACCTTAGCCTTACCTTTCCTCCGCCCTGGGTTGGGTACAGGATTCGAATCTGAATTTGTGCTTGAAGCTGAACACAGGGCTGGGAGCCATTCTTCCACGTGTAGTTTCCAAGAGCCCCCTTGGAGCCTGGACTAGGACTTGGAGAGGGTGGAGGTGGTCCAGGGTGAGGGCCGGTGGTGAATCCCGGACTAGTAACAGTGCTGTTGTCTGTGGTGGGGTAAACTGTGGCATTCCCATGACTGGTGGTCATGGCAGGGTTGTGCGTGGAAGTTGCGGGCCTGGAGCTGGTACTATTACTTGTTGGATGAACTGTGACATTTCCGTGGCTGGTAGTGGTGGGCCTGTGGCTGGTTGTAGGGCTTGCTGTACTTTCTGTGGTCGTAGGTGTCACCGTGAAGGATGGCAGGAGAGTAGCAGCTTTTCTATGAGGACAGTCTTTCCCTGTTCCTCGGGCTTTCAGGAAGAGATTGGTTGGCAACCCAGGCAAGAGTTCCTGCCCAAGGAGCTCCCTCCCTCCCACCTCTCAATTCTCCTTACCTACAAGCAGTCCCAGCAAGACCAAGCAGCGTACTTGGAACCTCATGGTAGAGCAGCTCAGAGTCCAGCTGGGCTGTACCAGTTCCTTCCTCAACCCAATAATCTCTGCCTTCTCTTGGAAGAGGAAATGAAAGTTGCACTTCCCCTTTAAGATAATCCCACCCAGAGCCTGACTCAGACACCTCTGCTCCAGCCACCCATTTTAGTCACTGGTTTCCACAATTAAGCTGTGATTGGCAGTGGCCTTTGGAGTGGGAGGGACATCTTATTTACCACGTGAAAAAGGCAGTTGACTCTTACCTAAGCAAAACTTGCTTTACTTGGGAGTTTACAAGGCAGAGGAATAGGACCCTTTCTCATTGGCAAGAAATCCAACACTATCTGTGTCTACCTTCAAGCCCAGTACTGGAGCTCTGTAGAGGCAGGTCAGCCTGGTTTATAGTTCCAGGATAGCAAGAGCTTGAGACCAGCCCCGCCTCCCCCACAAGGAGATAGGCAGTTAGCATTCCATCTGGGTTAGAACTCAAGGGCTGAGCTTGTAAGCAGAACCAGGTTTTACTCACTCCTTGACCCGTCCTTTACCAGTTCCTCAAGGCTGTAATCATGTGACACTTGGGACTAATCTGTGAAGGGTATTCTACTGTCAGTACCAGTTTCCTGTAGAAGGTGGATCACTTGATCTTTTAAGCACCGGTAGGGGGCAACATAACAAATGGAGTTATGAACTAGAACAGCCGATCCACACAAGCGGCAGGTGGGAGGGGACAAATGAGAAGCCCAAACAGGCAGTTTCCAAGTCATTTTATTCAGAATTTTGTGTTTGTTTCCTGAATCAATAAATACTATACAAAACAATGTAAAAATGGCTACCATTTTCTCTCCCCTGCTCCCCTCACCTGGGGACAATTCCCTGGACAACTTCATGCAGGGACTCTCCCTGTAGATTTGGTCCAGCAAATGAGGCCAGACATGTTTTAGACCCTTGACACTTTTGGAGACTTGGCTGGGGCAGGAAAGCCTTTAGAATCAAGTGACTAGGTTAGGGAACTGGATTAGTGTTTTGGGGGGGGGAGACGGCGCCTGGGGCAGAGCCTACCCCAAAGAAAAGGGTGTCTAAAATGTTCACGGTTCCTTCTTTTTGCCTCAAAAAGTGACATTTATTCAAAGAGAGAGAGAGAGAGAGAAAAACAAAAAAAAAAAAAACAAAAACAAAAAAACCAAAAAACAAGATGTCCATCCCTTGGCTCCCTTCCCTCCCCCCTCCAGCTGTTCCTCAGCCCCCCAGGACTGAACCCTGGCTAGGGCCAGGTAGGACGGCCCCTCAAATGAGGTCAGCAACATTGAGGGGCATCTCTTCAATGGAGGTGTTGTAGAATGTCTCAATGTCTCGAAGAGTCCTTTTGTCTTCTTCTGTCACCATGTTAATAGCCACACCTTTACGGCCAAAGCGACCACCACGACCAATTCTAAGGAGGAAAAAGAATGGAATGGGAAGGGATGACATGTCGGTTTCAGCCCACTGAGTGTCTGGTATCTCAGACCTTCATTTACCTGTGGATGTAGTTTTCCCTGTTGGTG